CATTGACCAGTTATGTTATGACACAGAATGCCACCTTAATGACCTTCTGACCTTCATGCAGGGTCATGATGGTTGGCATGACAAACTCAAAAAAGTCCAAACTAGCTCTGTTCAAATGAAACCTGTTCATGACAAGAAGGGTCAGGATCAAACCTAAACTTAATAATACATGAAAAATGTTCACCAGTAAACAATAGGGAAATAAAATATGTAGCAATTTTATAATAAAAAGCTGTGAAATGCCTTCAAATGAATAATTTAAAAAAATTTTTTTTTTTTTAAATCACAGGCTTCTTTATATATTATAAGGTATTTATATATGAAAAATAATAAGAAAAACATTTTAATATTTTCTCAATTCATAGACATCAACTAAATTAATGTTTAAACTGATTATATATATATATATATATATATATATATATATATATATATATATATATATATATATATAAAATAAATGTATATTTTGGCAGCAACCTTACTTTCACAGATCTTTCATTAAATATGGCTGACAAGGAAGATTTAATTAATTCTTTATTAAGTTTTTCCAGCATCCTAACATTTTCCCATTTTGTAGGAGTTAAAGAATATAAAAATTGTCCATAATTTTTTTGCCCCAAGCACTTTTGGACAATTCTTTAGACATTTTCAAGGGTGTTTTGTCTCTGGTGCTGTTATTTTATCTCCTCATGTTTTGATTGTTAGGTTGTAAATTATGTTTGTGTTCTTTTTTGAAAAAGAAGCATTCATTTCAAGCTCTCATGTGCTGCACACGAGCGAAATTCATGTGAGTGTCTATTTTTTTTTATTTAAAACAAAAAAAAAAAACTTTCAACACACCATTTTCATACATACACACACACAACTAAAGAAAAACAAACTATGTTGTTGTGACCAGACAATATGCTAGAAGACCTAATACCATGAAACAAGAAAAAAAATCCCAAACAAAGAAAGAAAAAAAGAAAGACCAACAAGCAACACCTACCTACTTAAAGTGTTCAACACCCAGATTATATAGACACCATCCAAAATGCTTCACAATATCAACACTTAAATGACAGCACAAGTTGTTACTTAAGTTTCATGCTCTCGCAACATTCAGACTAGAATGCCCTAGTTGTCTGAAGAATACAAGAGCATGAAATTCAAGTACCAACTTGTGCTACTTTTGTGTGTGTGTGTATGTATATATATATATATATATATATATATATATATATATATATATATATTCCTCACTGGTAGCATGACTTGAACTTCATGCACAATCTTCAGGTATTGAATTGAGTCTCAATTCAGCACCTAAAGATTGCATTATACATGAAACTAAGTTATGCTATCAGTGAGGAAAATATATATAAATATATATATATATATATATATATATATAGAGAGAGAGAGAGAGAGAGAGAGATTATAGCTGTTTCAACAAGAGATAAGTATTTTAAGGAGAAAAGAGAAGCCACAAACATTTTTGGCTTTTCTCTTTAATATATATAAATTACACAATCTGGTTTGTTAATATTAATTCTGAATATTTTTGTATATACTAATAATAATAAAACTCAAAAAATATGTGAATGTATTTTTAGGTTAGCAAAATTGCTGAAATGTGCTCAGTAAATAACTAGAGGCATAATATTTAATGAATCAACAAAAGTTTTGAGAATATTTTTGCATATATAAATATAGTTTTTAAAATTTTAAGGCAAAGACATGGACTGGATTGTTGATAATAGATGTTAGGTTAAAATCCATGTGTAGTGAATTACCAATACTATATAAATGGCTGGTTACTGTCATTTCCGAGCACACCCACAAAGCCCACCTGTGGTTTATACTGTAACTATGCTGAGTAGGAGGCACAGTGGAGTAATGGATAGCGGCTCAAATTGAGGAAGTGGAGAGCCGAGTTCAAATTCCAGTCGAATCCATTACATTTACTTACATGCTAATACCCTTGGGAAAGGGTATGAATCCTTTTCTCTTACCCCCTCCCCCCAGCTATGGGTAAATAGCAGGAGACTGGGTTCTATAGCCTTGGATGGCAACTGGTCTACTGCAGAAAGAAATGGCCACCTACTGGGAGAAAAAAAAATCTGCCTTGTCAGTCATGAATCAAAAGATACATGATCGCCTAAGCATGTATCACGTATTGCGCATAACTGACTGACTGATGCTGAGTGAGCCAGAGATCTGTTCAGAAGCTGTTGATGGTTATCCTTGCAAGAAGTTACAAGTCAGGGTTTGTGCGTACTGGTGTTGTTCAAACTGCCAACTATGACAGATTATGTGCTCTCTCCCAAAACTGTAATTATGATTCACTTAGCCTAGTTGGAGCATAAACCATTGTTAGAAGAGTTCTATCTACACAATTTCTATCACAAGGCTTGGGTCAACCAATGGTATGGTTTTTTTATGCACTTTCCAAAAGTGTCACATACTGGGATCACCTCCCCAAACCAATAACATCAACTCACTTTCCTGTTAAATCAACCATGGTGAGATTTGAACCCAGGTTTCATGATTGGAAATCAAACATTCTAACTATTTGGCTATTATTATATATATATATATATATATAGGATCACATGCAATTTCTAACCATTTATAGGTTTTCCTCCTCCTTTTTGGTAAACTAGAAAATCAGCCTGTGTAATCCATCTTAGTCTCACATTTAAGCAAAACATAATTTGTTCTAACGCCTAGTTGTCATTTAAATTTCCTGTTGTTTCATGAATGCACACTCAACCCATTTCTGACAACATTACTAGTGCATGATGGGAAGAGATAGTGCTTTAGAAGTAAAAAAAATATTCATCAATTAAAATAAAAATAAAAACACTATTAAATAATAATGTCTTGATTTGTGTAAAATCTAAAATTAATGCTAAACACTTAACTTTTGTTGTTTTACACTCACCATCTCTTTTGCTCAATGTTTATTTTGGCTGAGTCTCATGAAATGTGTTTACATGTCAGAAAATAATGTGCTTTCTTAGCCTAGTTCTTTGTTACATTAACTTCTAAAATGGAGGTCAACTTCTACACTATATTCCAATATGAAAAGGTACTTAAGCGCAGTAAATCAACATTGCTAAGATTATAGTTGTATTTTACGAGTTATTTTAAACATTGTTTTTATATATATTAAAAATAGTTTAATTTCAATAAAACTAACTAGGTTTCCTGATAAGCAAGTAAAGAAAATAACTTATAAAGATGCTGAATTTATATAACAGCCGTGTTTTTGTAGTTGGTTATGAGAGTATTTTTCTAAAATGAAAGCAAGTACATAATTCCTGAAAACTTATTAAAATTAAATGAAATTAAAAATATGAAAAAGTATAAATAGAAAATTTTTTCAAATATCTAAATTTAGAAAAATAAAACTGAAAAAACTAAAATTAAAAATTTTTTTTTAATTTTGAAGTGTTTTAAATAGTATAAAAAGGATTGGAAAATCAGAGAGAAAAAGAAAAAAAATAAGAGCAATTGGGAAGCCAAATAAAAGCATGACTAAAATCAGATGCACACTGAAGAGAATGCAGGATGATTAAAAAGACTTACTGTCACTTAACCTCAAGTTGAAGCATGACTGGTTTGGAAACAAAGAATACTGAGGAAAGTGCTAGAGTATTGAGGACACTTTCTGTGACTTGATTAGTGAGATTGCTAAACAGCTAATATGAAAATGAATGGAGAGGAGGACATGGAGAGAGAGAGAGAGAGAGATAGAGGTACAAGATTGAATGGGAAGACTGATCCACTAGAAACAATGCAAAGAACTGGGATATGACAATGTAAAACAATGATATATGCAGAAACCAGAATTATTTTCAGCAAACAAAAAACACAAAACTTATCATCTGGGACTTTGTTATTCAAACTGTTCACCAAATCCAGAAGAGAGAAGTTGATGTAACAATGTAAACAAAGAAAAGATATTTTGTCAGTGGATTTTGCTGCTTCAGTAAAATTGGAAAAAAGTGAAATGCTAAAAGAAAAAATCTGAACATTGCAAGAGAATTGAAGAAATTGTGGGAATCTGTTTATATTTCTGAGATGAGGTATTATGTACATTATTTACATTATTCGGACTATTGTCCTCATCTTTGTCGCCATATTTATTACAACGTTTCGGCCGTTGTATGCTCCGGCCTTCTTCAGGTGGTTGGAATGTCAAACTGAACCCTTTATTTCGCTCACCGGGGTAGACTGTTCTAGTTCCACGTGCCATGTTTGATGGATGTCAGTTATCAGTTATCTCCTGTTAATATCCACTGTGCCATGTGTCCATGGCACAGTGGATAAAGGCGTTGGTTAGATCCAGTGACAGGACCCAAAGAGTGTGAGTTGAATATCCAGTGGAGAAATTGGAGAGGGGAATTAACAGGAGATAAAGGCGTTGGTTAAATCCAGTGACAGGACCCAAAGAGTGCGAGTTCAATACCCGGTTAAGGCAGTGGAGAACTTTCAAAGGGAAATTAACAGGAGATAACTGATAACTGACATCCATCAAACATGGCACGTGGAACTAGAACAGTCTACCCCAGTAAGCGAAATAAAGGGTTCAGTTCGAAATTCCAACCACCTGAAGAAGGCCAGAGCGTCCAACGGCCGAAACGTTGTGATAAATATGGCGACAAAGATGAGGACAATAGTCCGAATAATGTAAATAATGTAAATTGTGGGAAAGTTGACAGTTCTGCCCTTTAATAATAGTAGACTTAAAACATTGATTAATTAATTTTCTATGGCTTATCAACCCTTTGCAGGTTATTTAAAGCTAGAAAATATTTTTAAATTTAAAATTTTTTTTAAGATAATAAGCATTTAGTGTTACAAGGCATTGCTTGGGGGGGATATATAGATTCATACCTTTCTGAAGAGTATTTGCATGTAAGTAAATTAAACAAACTCAACAAGAATTGAAACTGTTCTTTGATTAACAATTCCAAGCCATTATCCATTATACCACTTGTGCATCCAAGCTTACTGCACCTGGTATTCCCAAGTGGTCACTCATGTAGGTACTAGGCTCAATGTTGCTTAACTTCACTGATCATACAGGACCCAGTGTTTCAACATGATGTGGCTATAAGCCCAGGCTTGAAAGTGTCCCAAAGAGATGAGAAGAAATGTAAATCCAAAGAATAATCAAAACCATCCAGGTAGAAGCAATATTAAAAATCTGCTAAGATAGTGAGGAGGGTGCTGGATGATTAAGGGCACTGGCTATCACTTAATATCAGGCTGCAAAATACTAGTGTGAAAACTAAACAATAAAATAATATCAAAAGGAGCAAACAAACAAATACATGAGTTAAAAAATTTCTGGCAGCCCCAAAATAAAAAAAAAAAAAAAAAAATCATACTTATCAGTACTTCTCATATTTTGTGTAAAGTTCTCTCCATGCAATGACCACAATTACATGTTTTTAAGTTTTGCATGGCAACTTCATTTGTTTACATTTTCTGATGTTGCTTCTTGAAGTCTCTGGTTGAGACTAGTGGGTGATAAAGCAAAAGGAAAACAGTAATAGTAATAATAATAAGGAGAGTGCTAGATAATGAAGGGAACTTATAGGCACGTTCACAAATTTGCAAAAAAGAAAAAATATTAGGATAAAAAAAAATATGCCCCAAACTTGTCGAAAACTAAGTTTTATTGTCAAAATCTTTACATTATTAGGAGGAAAGACCAAAGTATATCTGATAAAAGTTGCAAAAAACTAGTGGTGTGAAAACTTGATGATGAATACTGAGGAGCATGCTGAGAGATTAAAGAAACTTGTTGTCCCTTGATCTTAATCAAAAACTAACAGTTAGTACTGGTGTGAAAATTTGAACAACACAAAAAAAAAAAAAAAAAATGATGTGATGATTTTGAAAAACACTTAAAGAAAAAAAAACACACACACACAAATATATATAAAAGTATAATGCAAATGGAAAATGAGAAAAAGAGAGGAAAATAAAAGCTTACATGTGCATGAGTTTTGTAATGAAGTAAAGTTAGCAGGTAAGCCATTTTTTCCTTAAAAGACAGTTTCAGAGTCTCTTCCATGATGTTCCAGCTTCAAATGATGTGATCTTTATAATAAAGTTGTAAGAGCTGCTTTAATGTTAGTAAACAACAGACTACAACTGCTTATTTTAATTTACCAGCCGGTCAATCATTTTATAACCCTGTCTGCTTTCCTTGTCTGCATTATGATTGGTTGATTCTGTCAAAGCTAACAGAATCCTGAGGCACTGGTTTACAAGGCAAATTATAAGATGCCCAAATATAGATGTAATAAAACCCCACCTTCCAATCCAGGATAGGTTAAGTTGGTCATATAGTTTTGCCTCCAGGATAAGTGTATCATTTTTCAGACAGTTACACAGGTCAGATATCTGTTTAGAAACCGATTTCAACATTCTTTTCAAATTTAAACGATAGTACAAAATAATAACAATGACTGGAGTGAAAAGTGTTTTCTTTTGTGTCACATTTTGGTTTCTATATTAAGTATTAAAATATTGTGTCACCAAATGAGAAAAAAAAGTAAAGGCAAATTATAACATTAGATAAGAGTAGAAAAAAGCCTACAGGTTGGGAAACAGTTCATTTATTTGTCATTAAGTAAATATTTTAATTAAAAAAAATATATTAAAAAAAAAAAACAAAAACAATTAATGTAAAGAAAGTATAAAATTACCAAAGTTAATCAGTACTTCCCTCACACATATACATTTATATACACACACAGTTAAAAACAAAATCTTCCCCATGGCAAAAATAACGGGTCATTTTGAAGTAATTTCTTCACTTTCCTCAGGTAATGTTTTGATTTCTTTTCCCCACTAAAATAGTTACAGCTACCAATTATGGCACATTTATTGTTAGAGGAACATTAATTGCTATACACACAATGTTTTCAGTTGCATATTAAAGGAAGCAATCAGTCAATGTACATTACTGAAATAGCCTATTTCGTTGTTATATAAGATATTAAAAAAAAAAAAAAAAAAAATTAAGAGAGAGAGAGAAAAAAAAAAAAGAAAATGGGTGGGGTATCTAATTAATACATTGTTACCAATGTAGTGGTATGGGGGTTGGAAGTCAAAGCACCAAAAAACAGAATTGTACAATTAAGAGTGGGTATGATGAGTTAGAGTGAGCAATAGCTCCTTATCATCCCACAAGAGCTCTTATTAAAACACACAACTTTTAAACATTCACACACACACACACAAATGCTGTTCTAACCAAGAAGCCCTTCTCAGACAAAAAAGTATCTTATGTTTGGTCATTTAATCAGATTTTGGAATGTAAGTCAAGAAAATGTCAGTGTGTGTGTGGGTGAAATTTCAGATATAACTAAATGTATCTGTAAAAGGACAATATGAATGAAGACAAAGAAAACTTATCTTAGCTGATGTGTTTTGTTCTCTGATGGAATTTATCAAGGCTTTTATTTTGCAATGACACTTCACATCTTCCATAATTTACCTTGACTTTTCAGTTGGCCTGATGTATATTTATGAGCTTTCTTAAACTTTTCAAAAATTTTAAAAAAATAATTTTATTTTTTGTCAATAAATACTTGTGGCAAAATAAAATCACTACATTTGCATTGACAAAGTCTATTAGAGGACAAAATATGTCAGCTAAGATAAGTTTTCCTTTTGTCATATGTTGAAAAAAGTGGTAAACCAGGGTATTTTTGGTATTAAGTTCTTTTTTTTCATCTTTTTTTCTCTAGGCAAGCAGCCTTTAAAATTACAGAGCTCAATATTGACGGATAGTGTATTTATTTATTATTAGTATTATGTGTGTGTGAAATTGTATATAGATTTGGACCTGTATTTTAAAATTGTTCCACTATCCTGTTCAAACCTTTAAATTGATGTTTGACATTCCAGTTATTATTATTATTCAGTAAATTATTTGACCAAATTATCCTTATTGCTGTTGTTTGATCACCATGTTTGTTTTTTCATAGGTTGACTTAGACACACCCAATAGTCATTCCAGTAACCAACATTCCAGCTTTTATCTTTTTTTAAATACAAATGTCAAACAATTGAAATTTTTCATGCAAAGAGGATGAGGCTGACAGTAATTAAATGTCATTTAAAAGTAAGAAATAAACAGACAAGGTTATATTCTATGTTGAAGCCATGTTCTCTAACAAACTCATTAAGACCTAATTCCAATAAGGCTAAATAAGGTTCACAGAAAGAGAACTTAACAGAGAATAATATTTAAGGATTGTGGAAAAAAAATGTTATCCATAGTTGAATTGTAATTGAATCTTTTGAGGAAGTTCAAATAGATAATGGTTAGCACACACGGTAAATGGATGTAAGGAGTAGCGTTCAAATTTTAGTCCCATTTTGTATTTTAATCTAACCTTTAAATGCTTTTATTTTGCTGTCTTGGAGAGTAAACTAGAATATAAGTGAAAATTTGGTCAACCAAAAGCTTTTGTATATAATGAATGGCTCAATCTTGTCATTTAAATAAAGTAAGATATTAATTAATTCCTCATAAAAAAGTATTGTTACTATTTAATTCAAACATTTTAATAAGCATTTTTATCTATTTGTGACATAATTTAGAAGCCAGTGGTATACATGGCCAGAAACATTGTGATACAAACAATGAAAATTCTTGTTTAATTGAATCAGTGAATAATATGTAAATTAATCTTATTAATAATTGTTACTTATCATGAGGACATGTTGAATCATCTCGTTTTAAGATGAGTAATCCAAAATCAAAAATACACATGATGAAATGTATATAATGTAAATGAGTTTTTAATACTTTCTTATAAATGAATCTGTCCAAGCAATGGTGTGCATATATGCGTGTGTATAAAGCTACTTATTTTTTAGGACACACTTTTTATTTATTCTTTTACCACAATATGAGTAGATAGATTTACTTAGCATCTAATTCACTCTCCTCTCCAGTCTTTTAAACAGGAATAGGGGTTAATTCTTTGTTTCTTGGTTAGGATTGGATTTCTGGTTCCTTCTAAATTTTACTTCAACTCTATACTTCTAATGTTTTTGCCTAAACTCTGAAATTTATACTATTAGGTTTCTGGTTCATTCTAAAGTTTTTTTCCTTTTGTCTTAGTGGCATTATTGTCTTGCTTGGGATGAACTGATTAAAATCATATATATATATATATATATATATATATATATATATATATATATATATATATATATGGTGCAGATAGCACAATCAGGAGCTTGGAATGAGAAAATGGAGGGCTGAGTTTCGAATTTCAGTCAGGTTCATTACATTCACTTATGTGTAAATACTCTTGGTAAAGATATGAATCTATTTTCTCCCCCAGCTATGGCTTAAATAGTAGGACTCGTATCTGGAAAAATCAATGTTATTCTCCAGAAATTGTTAATTCACTCGCAAAAAATAAATAGAAATAAAATAAAGATAAAAATAATTATTCTCACAATCCAAAATATGATTAGACTTTAAATAACCCACAAAGGGTTGATAAGCCATAAAAAAAAAAAAAAAAAAAAAAAAAAAAAAAAAAAACAAAAAAACAAATCAGTCACAATCTCTCTCTTTATACGTATATTATTGGTCTTACAATCATATTGAGGCATGAAACTAACAATTGCCATGCTTTGTTAATTTCTATATCCACTCCATGTCTCCTCTGTATGTGTGTATATTCCAGTAATTTGAAGAAACATTTGTTTCTTCAGCACATGTAGCCACTCTGTGGTTTATACTGTGACTATGTTGAGTGGACCTTAATTAACAGTTTATAATAGAGTGTGCATAATCTGGTGTGATCAGTAGCTGAACAAGGTCAGTACACTCAACCCCTTGGTCATGATGATTTGTGAAGTGCTAACACAACTACTGTACAGTTTCTGAACACTTTCGTAAACCTAATTTTACTCACAAAGTTTAGGTCATTAAAATACTGATTTAGGGAGTGAACCAGGCTGAGAATTTTTCAGCAATTCTTCATACTAAGCTTAACTTGATACAGAACAAAGCCAAATGGTGGAGTAATGTGAATCAAATGATTGTCCAGATAATCTTCCAAGTGGAAAAGGCTAGCCTGCCTAGAAAAATGAGTTTTCAAAATACACTCTTATCAGGATTAAATCACTAACCTCTGGTACGAAAACTCATAAAAGTACTTTGTAACAGAACATTTTTTTATCATTGTATTGCTTTATTTCCACAACCTTTAATATTAATTTCTTTTATAACACAAAATTAGAAAATAATTTTAGGCTAGAATTTTTTTTATCAGAATTAAATGGGTTACATCAACATTTCATGCTTAAATAACATTTGAATATTCAACTAAATTTCAAAAGTGACAGAAATCTATAATTAGTATCAATGTGCTAGTGTCATCATTGTGTAACAATTCTCAGTTTTGAAAAATACAAGACTTAAATTACCTTTACCTAAATATTTATACTAAATAATTGTATTTTGCACAGAAAATTAAAATCTTTTGAAATAAATTATTAGGGAGTGTATTAAATATATTATCATTTCTACAAACCTTGTCTCTATAGCAAATTTCATGCATACATGTAAAGGCTATTTATATATATATATATATATATATATATATATATATATATATATATATGAATAAAAACAAATGGATTACTTATCTTAGCTGATGCTTTCATCCTTGAATGGATTTTATCAAGGCAAATTAAGATTATATTTTACAATTATTTATAAACAAAAGTAAAAATGTTAGTTTTTAAAATTTAACAAGCACTTATTAATATTTTAAATATCGAACAGGCTAATTAAAAGGCTAGGTAAATTATGGAGGCTGTTAAGTGACGTAATTTAATAAACAAAAGTGATATATGTTGGCAGGGGGGATTGAGTATCTTGTCACTTGTACCATCTGAAGATTGTGAGACAGCCACATAAAAAGGTAGTAATATCTGAGTATATTTCTTCTTTTTTATCACTTTAAATGTCATTTTTAGTGGATACTCATATTCAAATAGACACTCCATTTATTTATTAAAAAGTATATTTATTTTCATCTAATGGCCTGAATATTTGAGAAATCTTATTAAAGAAAAAAAGATGTGGCCTGTGGCAGGATTTGAACCTGCACCCCCCTTGGAGAAAACGCCATTAAAATATTCAGGCCAGGAGACGAAAATAAGTATATTGCTTAAAATAATAATTAAAAAGAATGTGATAGGTAATTTAAAGAACTTTTGAAAAGTTAAAACTCTTGTATTTTGTTAAAAGAAAAAAAAAAGAATACTGGGTAATGTGGTAATACAATTAAATTTAAATGACATCTGCTGGTTCAGTTTAGTGCTCTAATCAATAATATTCTGTCCAATCAAGCAAGTCCCCATACATAACAGGTTTGCCTATAATCCGGTTCATATTCCTTCCCCAATTTTTGTGAACAGGAGTAGAGGTTTATCCCTCGTTTCTTGTTTCGGATTGGGCTTCTGGTTCCTTCTAAAGTGTACATCAACTTTATACTTCTAACATCTCCACCTGAACTCTGAAATGTTATTCACTAATTAAATCTTGATGTTTTCAAGTCTAGAGTTAGCCATTATTCTTTCCTGCATAGCCCCAAGAACTTCGCTTCTCCCACAATACCACACAATAACCCTTGAGTGACTCTTGGGCCTCGTATTAGGTGAACATTAGTATAAAAAAAAAAAAAAAAAATAAAGGATGAAGGTTTATTTTCAACCCCATTGGTTGTTTAGTTTTTTTATTTGCTTAATTTCAGTAGTCCCTTGCATCTTCATGCATTTTATTGGCTTGGAGTGAAATAGTGAGGATAAAAATGAATACATTTTAAAACCACCTGGGCAGTAGTACAAAATACAAAAAAAAAAAAATAAATAAAAAAAAATAAATAAAAACATGAAAAAACTTAATAATAAAGTTTTAAGAGATTCAGATGACAACTTAAGACTATACTATGATGGGGTATGGAAAAGTTCTCAACCTAGTTCCAGATTTTCATATGGGTTACAGTCTAGGGGCCCCAACACTAGCAGGTCCTCAAACGCACTCTAATCTTGGGCCCTTGATAAACTAAAAAAGATATAAGAACAAGAAATTTGTTTATTTTCATATTTAATGGAGCTCCTTTGAACTAATTTGAAATAAAGTATTTGGGCCCTTCAAGTTGGAATTGGTCTTCAGCATTCCCTTGCAATAACCTGTGTGAACAAAACCAACATTCTAGACATATATACATATTGAGTATAACATTGGTCTACAAGATCTCCACAAGCAAAATATGTATATACCTATGATGGCATATTAAATGCTAGCAATGTCAATTGGGTACTATGTCTAGCATGCAATATCCAATTATAAAAAATAGCTGCATATCAAGTTATATATAACTTATGAGACCAATTGGCATTGGTTGCATGCACATAATGTTTAAGTTAAAGAGTTTTCACTTCTTTCATGCATACAAAACCAAAAACTGAAAGAAAAAAAAAATGACATAAACAATAATAAGACTGCATTAAGATATTTGGAGGTTACAAAAACAACACTTGGTAACAATAATGCAAATGGTTAACAAGAATAAAACAAATGTTTGATGATGAAATAACACATACTAGTGCATTAAATGCACTTCATAGGGTTCCATTTTATAAGAGTTAAAAATAATCAAATTGAACTAAACTAATTCCAATGTAAAATACTTTCAAGAGTTGGTCAGATAAGATTTCTTCAGTCTGTGGTAGATTCAATGACTTTATAAACGATGAGTGTTGATCATGAGCAACTTTTAGAATATTTTACATAACTGTACATCATGGTAAGATGCTATCAAAAATAAAAAAGAATGTTCAGTTTTGTTGATATTGTTTTAAAGTAAAAGTGTGCTACCTTAGAATTTCTTTTATGTGAGCCACGATAAATCATTTTCCTTTAACTGCAAGGAAACAATCTTGTACATCTTGTATTTTTGAGTTCAATGCTCTAACAACGAAGCCATAACCAATAATTAAATCAAAGAAGAACTTTACTAAACAACTAAATTTAAATGTTTTTTTCCTTGCTTTTGATTAAGCACAAAGCTTGTCAAAGAGAAGAATTGGATAAACCATTATTTACATTTTACTTACTTCTGGAGGTGGTGTGGAATGGTGAAACAATTACTGCTATCAAAAAACAGAGTTCACATCTTGAGCCATTCTGCATTCTCTTTTCACTAATCTAATGCCCTTAGGAAAGGTCAGATCCACTTTCCCCTCACAGACATTTAAGCTCTATAGACTTGTAAAGCAATTCATCATGAATATTTTCATAATAGGCCATGTCAGAGACTGTTCCTTGTTGCAGGTAGTACATCCTTTTGTCATTAGGATTGATTCTTTCATTTGGTTTTTATGTTTTATCAACCCTTTGCAGGTTATTTAAAGCTGAAATATATTTCAAATAGTAGAAGGTTGCTTACAGTACCTGGTGTTCCCAAGTGGTCTCCCATCTAAGTACTAACTGGGCTTGATGATACTTAACTTTGTTGATTGAAAGAGAACCAGTGTTTTCAGTATGATTTGACTGTAGGCTTTATTATTTGGAGAGAGATGGTTGCTGCCAAATAACGGTACACTTGTTCTAAGAGATGCTATAAAAGGGATTGGCATGGTAACCCTACAACACAATAGGTTAGGGTAAATGTTTACAGAAAGCAAAGAGTCACAGAGCTCTCAGATACTGTACCAATTCTCAGCAGAGAGTTGGGGAATTACTATTTGATCTGAAGCAGAGAGCACAGATATTCTGATCATAGAACTGACAAGTCATATAATTTTGTCATTTTTTTTATGGGTAGTATGCAATTAAATATATAAAAAAGGAGTACATTGATTTTACTCAATTTTATCCAATTATCATCACTGCTGAGTTGAAAAATAGCAAAACTTGATGAAATAAAAAAAGGTAGGGAGTAAAATAGTAATATATCTGCAGGAAACAACAAAAAAAAATCATTGTAATGTTCATGTAAGTTTAATTTTTCAATAGATAAAAATGGTAAATATAACATGGTAGGTAGATATGCAAGTTCAGCACCCCAGGGTGACAATGATGCAGGGTTAGGATTATATCAATGAAAGGATAGAAATCACCACTCTCAACCTTTATTGGAAAAACAGTAGGTGTGTGTGTGTGTGTGTGTGTGTGTGTATATATATATATATATATATATATACACACACATAATATTTTCAAATATAAATGCAATGAATTTAAAGGAAAAAATATTCAAGAAATACATTTAAAAAATACATTCCACAAAAATATTTATAGATACAAAACATTTTGAATATATATAATAAATTAACTGATTTAAAAATTTGGTTCCATCACTACACAGGAATTACCACGTTTCAAAAACAGAAACTAGCAACTTCAAATTCAATTATTTAATTAGATTAAAAGCACTAGCTCTGTTTCATTTTCAAGCGAATTTTGGATTAACTTATTTCGAAATTTACTGAGTTTTAAAAGCACATACATTCATAATATTTGTTTCCAAGGATACAGAGAAACCCAATCATTTAGACAGGGGCTGTAGAGTGTTCATTTTTATTAACAATTATTGTATCAAATTTGAGTTACTTTCGAAAAGAATATGCAGGTCATTAAATAACCCATGTCCTTTCTGCATACATGGGAAACTATATATTACTCAGTTCATAAAAAATAAAAATTTACTGAAGCAAAGAAATGAAATAGCTATTCTTTGCCGAAATTGTCAAAAGTTTTCCTTAAATAATATTTAATAAAAGAGAGCTGTAATATACATACTTATGTCTGATATCTAATAATAATGTTTAAATAATTAAAGTAATTCTATTACATTTATTTGTTTTAAAATGAAATATAGTCTATTAGTAATTAAAAGTAAAAATATTGTAAAATTGTAGTTCAATACAACATATTCTAATCCAAACACCCCTTTTAGAAAGAATCTCTATGTATACAAGTATAAATTTAATGGGTAAAAATGACAAAAAACTTTGTCGTTTAAAAAACTAGACGACATGTGTTGAACAGATGTCATAATTCGTTGAAAAATATACCCCTACACTAACTAGACATAAACTCTTTTTGAAAGTAACTCAAATTTGATACAATAGTTGTTAATAAAAATGAACACCCTACAGCCCCTGTCTAAATGATTGGGTTTCTCTGTATCCTTGAAAACAAGTATTATGAATGTATGTGCTTTTAAAACTCAGTAATTTCGAAATAGGTTAATCCAAAATTCGCTTGAAAATGAAACAGAGCTAGTGCTTTTAATCTAATTAAATAATTGAATTTGAAGTTGTTAGTTTCTGTTTTTGAAACATGGTAATTCCTGTGTAGTGAAGGAATCATATTTTTAAATCAGTTAATTTATAATATTTATGCTCTGTAAATTTACATTGCACACTGTTTTGTAAAAATAAAAATATCAATAAGAACACCGGATTATATATCTTACTGTTCTTTCTTTTTACTAATATATATATATATATAGGATCTAGTTCTGCAGTTCAATCTTCATAGTTTTACAGCCGTGATATGAGCAGATATAGAACTGAGATTATACAGACATACATTAAATACTACACACACAATGGATGCACCTGGTAATTGAAAACAAATTATAATATAAAGAAAGCTAAATCTACCCAACAGAAAAAAAATCAGTATATTAAAAAGAAAAAAAAAGAAAGAAGCAGCCCTGTAAATCATAATGAACATTTAAAAGAAAAAAAAAAAAAAAAAAAAGAAAAAAAAAGAAAAAAAAAAAGAAAAGAAAATGGTGATTCCGTATAAAAGTATCTAAGGTGATTATGGTTTTTTTGTGACACAGCTTCAGAAACTACTACTCGACAGGATCTTTTTTTCATTTATGTTGGCTATCAACAGACCTATGATGGTAGCATTTAACAAGTCCTTGACCTTCTGAGGACACTGACTGATTGGTCTCTTTCTTTGCTCCATCGGTAGTAGTAGAAGAGATTTAAATCTGGATAGGTAGATAGTTATGGGAATTCTTGGACAGCCACTATGGGGTCATGTGAGAAGGGGTTAGAGGCATCTATCCCCTTGATCTAGAGCTTGACCACTGTTGCCAGAAAAAAAAAAAATTGATCTAGACAGTTGCATTAACCCTGAAGAAAGAAGTAGGGTAACATGATATCTCTTTCATTGCTGACAACCTCCAGGAGCATCACAGATGAGAACATACATCACCACCGATATCTCCAGTTTGTTCTTAACCTTGATTGACCAACTCCCAATAAGCTTGCTATCTCTGAGTTGTTTCAGCTGATGACAAGTGACATGAGCCAAGCTTGCTCTTTTTATTTCCAATGTCAGATTGCTTTATAACAATATGTTAGTTCATCTTCTATTTATGACTCGTTAGAGGCATGGTCTCAAAATACTTGGCACACCATGTATACACACACACACAATGCATAATATACATACACATTAATATCCCATGTTTATAACACGGGCATGTATGTGTAGTACATACAATATATATTACATTACAGAGTTGATACAATAATATGTATATACATGTATATTATACACTCATATACACATGAAAGATTTGTATACATATATACAAAATATCTTGACCATATTGGAGGTCAAAATACAAAGTCGTATCATGAACACTGACTCACTGTAGCCGAGAATCATAAATTTGATATTCATTAGTTTTCAAATTACAAAGAATGCATTTTAGTTTTAAAAACAGTAAAATAATAATGATCATAAAATCCTTGTCTATGCCTTTTACTAAAAAATTACTGTTTAAATAACCCATAATTTTCAGAACATGTACTGGGCCAATGAATTACACATTAACTAATTTTATTTGCTTACTATTTTTAAAACTGCTTTAAAAATGAAAACAGATAAATTGGGTTTATGCAACCTAACAAACTTAGGTTTCATTTTATTATTTACTTTCAATGCAACATCATAAAAGTTCTCGGAAAACAGTGGGTCATCATTTAAAGACAACAATTTCAAGAACCAACAAATAGAGTTTATAACGAGAGGTGGTTTCAGTTTTAACACAAAAGAATGAAGCTATCTTATATAAGCATAAAGCTTTTACAGTGAGGTAAGGATACATAGAGAGACTACAAACACAATAGTTGCTATTACACAAGGACTAAAAGCCAAGACTAAAAGTCTTACTATATTAACCAGAGAAAAGTCAGAAGGCAGGGAGAACAAAGATGAATGGTAGCAACAATAATACTTTCATGCATGTGTTTGGGCATGTATTGCAGTGTACATGTATGTATTCATATTTATATAGATACTAGCTGACCTACATAGCAGTTGCAGGTTTCATAAACTTCATCATTTACAAACTTAAAATTTTATTCTGTAATACATTCAGAAATATGACACATGGTCCAGTGAAGAAAAAGCATGTAAGCTAGTCATAGGACTTAAGTATATGTCATGATTACATGGATATTAACTATGAAAGAACATATAAAGCAACCAGTAAGCCACAATGACAAGAAATATTCATGCATTTGCAAGGCATTTATTTACATTATTTGCACACTGACCATTGTCTTCATCTTTGTTGTTATTATCACAACATTTTGACCAGTATACAATCATGTGTTTGTCAATTTTAAATAACCTTCAAGGAATTTCAAACTGAACCCTTTATTTCAGGAGTAGATTGTTCTGCTGACCATGTTTAGGGATATCTTGTCTAGTTCTTATTTAATACTGCTAAGTTATTGCTCACTGTTTCTACCGAGCTGAAGTTTACCTGACCCAAGGACTGAACTCACAATTATTATGGCACAAAATTCATGAACAAATACTTTAATCCACTAAACTATTGTTCCATGGAACAATCCAGAGTGTAGAACTTGGAGTTTTAAACCTAATCTGCCTGCTGCTGAGTGTAAATAATGATAACTCCTCATCTGAGAGATTCAAACAGAAATTGCAAGGCAACTGTTTATCTCTACCTTTTGAGCACCCAAGTCTTTAAAGGTGTGAAGTGCATCACAACATCCTCCATTGTTGTAAGTAGTCAGACAAATGAAGTAAGCAAAATCTGTCCCTTGTGCAGCTTCTCTTTTTCTACAGGGTGCAAGGGGTAAATTGTCGCTATTTTATATTTTTAATTTCGTGCATGTGTGTTGTTTGTTTTGGATTTTGTCAACTGCACAGTATATTAGGGTCAGTTGGAAACCGACCGTAAGAAAAAGAGCATCATGACACGATTCACCATTTCTGCCAGAAATTTGGAAATGTCATGCTGTAGTGCTTGGCATTCGTGCCAGAAGCTCCAATACAAACATTTCAGAATGTTTGGGTGTCAATCTGAGGACAGTATAGAGGATTCAAAAAGAGTCTAATGGTAATTATGTAGATATGACAGCTTGAAAAACTCACTCTGATCATTCTGATAAGAACTCCTGAATTTGTTTGTGGGAGCCCCAGACTCAACATGGGGGCCTATATCAAGTGCTTTGAGGAGGGTCAAGAGGCTGGCCTATGTCTGGCAACAGGA